ACGATCTAAGTGTCACCCGCTGAACAGGGGGACATGTCCATGTCTTCACTGCACAGAGCGGGAGCCAGAGCCACCACGAAGCCAGGCCCGTGAGCCGAGGCCGAGGCCAGGCGTCCTCTTCGGCCCCTGAACCCAGAAGGAACATTTGTCTCACTGATATTTTGGCTCACTTCTAGGTGTGGCACATGTCTATTTCCACAAAAACCAAAACCCCAAAACCTCGCTCTGGAGCTGAAAGGTAAAACCATGACTGTCACCCCAGGTCCGACACAGAGAGGAATTTTAATAAAAGTGAAATTAGCTCGAGAGGCCGAGGCCTGAGTTCCCACACAGATGGGCTTGTAGCAGAAACGCGGGTCCCAGGGGCCATCCTGGCACGAGTCTCTCAGCCTTAAAACCAAATTCACGGCACCAAGACCAGCTTAAAACCGTTAGAGGCACTAAGCACTAAAAAGGTTAGGGACCCCCAATGACCTGTAATCCAAAAAAATAAAAATTAAACAATAGCAAATTATAAAATAAGTGCCAGGACGTTAACCAAGTTTCTGATTTTTCCCATGATGACTCGGGAGCTTTTTTGGGCAAAGAACAAATATCAAAATATCTTTAAATTTTTTTCTTGATTTTTTTTTCTTCCTGTCATAGTGCTTTATTTTTGTTATAAAAACAATATCACGATATGAAAAGAAAATTTAAAAATAATGCGTACTCTTTAATAAATGGTGCTGGGAAAACTGGAAAGCCACCTGCAAAAGAATGAAACTAGACTGTTGTCTATCACCATACACCAAAATCAACTCAAAATGAATTAAGGACCTGAATATAAGGCCTGAAACAATAAAATGCATAGAAAAAAACATAGGAACTAACCTCAAGGACCTTGGACTCAAAGAAGATTTTATGAATGACCTCAAAGGCAAGGGAAATAAAAGCAAACATAGATGAAACTAAAAAGCACAGCAAAAGAAACTGTCAACAGGGTAAAGAGACAACCATCCGAATGGGAAAATATATTTGCAAGCAACGCCTCCGATAAGAGCCTAATATCTAAAATATACAAAGGAACTCATACAACTCAATAATAACAAAAAAAACAAATGATCCAATCAAAAAATGGGCAGAGGACCTGAACAGACACTTCTCCCTAAAGGACATATAAATGGCCAACAAATATATAAAAAGATGCTCGACATCGCTAGCTATTAGGGAGATGCAAATCAAAACCGCAATGAGATACCGTCTCACACCTGTTAGAATAGCTGTAATCAACAGGACAAGCAATAACAAATGTTGGAGAGGATGCGGAGAAAAAGGACCCCTCATACACTGCTGGTGGGACTGCAAATTGGTACAGCCACTATGGAAAACAGTATGGAGGTTCCTCAAAAAACTAAGAAAGGATCTGCCATATGACCCAGCCATCCCTCTACTGGGTATTTACCCCAAAGACTTCAAAACCCATATCCGAAAAGATATGTGCACACCAATGTTCATAGCAGCATTATTCACAGTGGCCAGGACATGGAAGCAACCGAAGTGTCCTATGATAGATGATTGGCTAAAGAAGCTGTGGGACATATATACCATGGAATATGACTCAGCCATAAGGTGGAAACTACTTCTCCCAACAATCCTGTGGAGGAGAATTATTTCACGAATGAGGAAACCGAGAACAGTGAGTTATGGATATGAATCTTGCCTCGCTAGATTGTATAAACTGTGTATAAAAATGGAACAAAGAAAGGGCAAAGTCCTCCAGGAGAGGGATTTTGGCAGATGTGGGAAGTTGTCCCTGGCAACAGCTAAGATTTTGAGCTTAGTGCAGTCCTCAGTCTACCAGGAAGGAAACCAGTGCTGGAGAGCTAAAGCGCCGTGCCCCAGGTCAAGCAGCTTATCACCGGCAGAGCAAGAACTAGACTCAGGCCTCTGGCTCGTTTTATTTTCCCTCTCTTCTGACAGAGTTTGTGACCCTCACGGTTCATTCTGCAACTTGATCTTCCTTCTGCCACATCTATCAAACCCGGTCCCAATCCACTAGGGCGAGTTAAACAAAATGATCTTTCTCCCTAAGGACACACATGGGGTCTCTTTAGTGTCCCTGTGATTCTTCAAGAAGCCTCATCTTTAATCCTATATCCATGGTGCTAAAAGTTACAGGACTCGAATCACACAAGCCTCACGGAGAGTCGCAAGGATAGGAACACCCTGGAGAATGCTGGGTGACGCAAGAGTCTGACTCTACAGAGCCAGCAGCTTCATCGCTGGCCACACATCCTCCATCCCCATCCATGGGACTGACTGAAGGAAGTAGGTGCACTCCAGGGCTGGAGAAGGTCGTATTTGGATGATTTTCATCACAAGAGGGCAGCACATGTCCAGCAATTATGTAAGTGGAGCAAAGAATTGGACTGTGCAGAGAGGCCCGTTGACCGACACATGGTTCTATCTAAGTTAAGACCCCATCCCAAGTACATAGCGTGGGCCTATTCATCCATTATTTCATAGGCCCTGGTAAATAGGGAGAGTTGGCCCCAAGGGACATCAAAGAGCACTATTACAGAAGGTTCTCTAGGTATTAAAGACCTGGGTTCAAATCCCAGTACATCTGGTAGCTGTGTGACCTTGGACAGGTGACTTAGCTTTTCTATGCCTGAGTTTCCCACCCATAACAGTGCTCCCCTTCAGGGTTGATTACGAGTAGTAAATTAATTAAGATAAAGTAAAGCCTTGTAGTAAGGGCTCCAGAAGTAGTAACTCTTAGTATCTAAGTGAACTCTCCTCTCCAGCGCTGCCTTAATAAGCATCAGGGCGGGGCGGGGGTGGGGGTAGGGGGGATCAAAGAGAAAAGCGGGGCCCACCTTCCCATTTTTAAGAGCCCCTCCTAAACAACATCCCTGTTTTCAAACTATCGGATAGCAAACCCTAGACTTTTAAGTAGCCCAGAGACCAGAGCCATTTCCAAGTCTGAATACCTGTGGGATAAGAACTAATCATCCCCTCCACTTGACACTGTCTTCATTTTTACTTAGTTAAGAAACGGCATGTCCAGGTCACATCCACAAGCATGGAACAGGAGAGCCAAGCCTATCTGCACTCTGTTTGATTTCACAGATGTTAGAGGGTATTATCTAGCTTTCCACACCAAAATCATCTGGCCGAAAGTCCTTTCTTTCTTTGACATCAGCATGTGGTTCTGTTTCTAGCGTTCTTTGCTTTCACTCAGGAACACTGCTGCCTGTAGCAGAGGTGAATGAGGGGAGTCTGGAGAGCAGGCGGGAGAGACTGGAGAGGAGGCAGAGAAGGACAGAATAAGACGAACTGGGAGGGTGGGACGTGGGCGC